TTTTGTGTGAAAAAGAGGGACTTTCTGGTGGACAAAAAGGGGAATTTTTTTAAAAAAAAAAAAAAAAAAAAAAAAAAAAAAAAAAAAAAAATTCGCCCATCCCTGTCGAAGGAGATGTTTTCTAAAAATGAGCATATGGGTAGGATTTGATTAGAGTCTGACATAGTTTGGTCTGGAATATCCCATGAAGGCTCCCATGGTAAGGACTTGGTCTTAGTGTGAACCATGAGGAAGCACCATGGGCCTCCTGGGAGGTCTTTAGGCCATTGGAGACATACCCCCAAATGAAATTAGGGTACTCTGGGATCTTCCTTCTTGTCTCTCTCTGGCTGTGAGGTAACAGCCTTCCTTTGCCACGTACCCTCCCCCAGTGGAGTGCTGCTTCCCCATAGCCCCAAAGCCATGGGGCTAGCCAGTCATGGAGTGGGACTCCACAACTGTGAGCCAAACTAGCCCTCATCTCCATCTGAGCTGTTTATCCCAGCATTTGGTACAGGGACTGAAAATTGACAAGCACAGAGCCAGTGTCCTCTGAAGGGTGGCATCTAGGTCAACAGTTATAGCAGGTGCTAAAATGTAAAAAGTCCTTGGCCAGATACTCTCTGTGTGTTGGCAATCATTTGGGGAGCCTCAGTAAGAATCACCCCCAGCCCACACTGACTCCGATGAAGCCCCAATCTCGGCATGGAACCCCTGGATGATTGCCACGTGCTGTCGATGCTCAGAGCCACTGAGGAGAAAAAGCCTTTCTTCCTGGAGCACTTCCACTTGCACGTCCTCATTGGCAGCGATGTGCTGCTAATCTTCCAGCTGGAATTGGCTCAATGGAGCCAGCGATTAAAAGGCACACAGCCGAGCAAGATGCTTAGAGGGTTTGTGGGAGTTCAAAGTAGGAGCATATGTTGTCATAAACATCATTAGAAGCGCATGACACCATCACTCCCAAATGAAGGACCATGAACATGTCCTCTGAGCAGAGCACCCCAAGTTTCAGTGGCAACTGGGTGAGGGTCTGGGTTACTCCAGGCTCCCTGCCCTTACCTCTTGTGGTGGAACCCCAAATTCTTCTCAGACCTTCTTCATGCTTGAAAAGAGTCTTAGGAACCTACTCCAACCTTCCCTCCATCTTTAGCTCCCCTATGCTATCTTACAGAGAGCAGTGTTCTCTCCTCCACTCCTGCCCCTAGACTCCGTGCTTGAGAAGTGTCTATTCCATCCCCGTATTATTTCTCAAATAAGATGAGAAGTTTATCATACTGAGCTCATCAAATCACAGCTTTGTTTTTTCCAGCCAAGGCAGCAATCTTCCAGTAACTTGTCAAAATGAAAGAGAGAGGCACCCACTGTATGTTCTTTAGGCCTTTTAGGAAATACAGAGTTGGGCTTGTGGGGGGTGGTGAATGCATGCACAAATCTACAAGAAGGATAATATTGTAGACATCCTTGGAATAGGCACTGTTCAAAAGGAACGCCCATAAGTGTTGCCGTGGCAAAACAGAAAGTCTACAACATCATTAAGCCTTCTGTATGCATCATTTTGTAAGAAAGTAAGTTAAGGCAGAACCCTTGTCCACAGAGGTGTGTACTGAGCACAACAAGCACACTAGGAGTAAAGATGGCTTCCTGAAATGAAGGAAGGAAAAGCAGAAAAAAAGGAAGGCAGAGAGAGAAGCAGCTGGGGTCCAGCCTGCCACCCCAGAGAAGCCCAACTAGCACTAACAGGAAGGAACCTGAGCTGCTGGAGCCCACTGCACATAAATTCATAGCCCTAAACTGCCTAAAATAATCCCAGCAGGAAAGTTGACATTTTAATTGGCTGGTATTAGATCTGGTAGATATTGTTTTGTTTGTGTGGGGTTGTTTTTGTTTTGCTTTGTCACCCTGGAGATGGGATCCAGAGCCTTGAGGATGCTAGACAAGTGCTCTGGTACCAAGCTAGAGTTCCAGAGCAGTTGGTCTTATTTCCAATGCTAACAGTGCTTTTCAATTAGCCCTCCTGAATCTGGACAGCCTGCATCGTGTCTGGAAGCATAACTTGTTTTGGCCCTGTACCACTAACTTTCTACCATGATCCAATCCTTAAGCCCTATGGAATAGGTCGCTGCTGGAGATGGTTGAAAGGGAAGGGTTTGAAAGAAAGATACAAAGCCTATTAAATCTCTACACGTTATAGGCAGCAGTGGCCCTCGAAGTACCATTCCGTGCGGTGTCTCTAACAGCGGGCTGTTTGGCTGTCACAGACAGTGGTGGGCATCTGTTGTTCCTCCCCTGCCTGTCCATCATCCCTTTCCTATCTTCTCTGAGGGCACCCCTCAAGCTCCCTCTCAGTCCCATAAATCCTATGGCACTGCCTCTTGCTAATGTGTGATACTCAGACCTGTAGAGAAGGTTTGAGTTTCTTTTTTAAGATTTAAAAACTTTTAAGATTTGTTTCTTTTTATCCTACAAGAAAGTTCAAACTGGTATCTTCCAACATTGGTCAGGAAAAAAAATGCTTTGGTAACTGTTTAACAGTCCTCGGTGAGGTATTCGGCATGGTGCAGCGCCACCTGTTGGCTGAGGGCAGAGCACACCTGCCTGAGCACTATCCAGATGCTGAGGGAAGAGGATGCAGACAGAATTCTCTTCCTTATAAACTCCTTGCTGTTTTTAACGCAAGAATGTGTCCTCACTCTGAAACTGTGGATGCGGGCAGTGGTCATGAGCAGCTGGTGAAGCCTGAGGTCAAGGACAGTGGAACACCCTGGAGAGAAGAGAGCACAAGGCAAAGCCACGCCCCTGTGACTCCTGACTGAGGCACTGGGGAAATTGGATACATCAGCCTGTCTCCTCACAAGTGAACAGAGATCCTTCCAGATGAAATCACCCCCAAATGTTGAAAGCAGACAGCAGAGCTTACAAGAACACATCAGAGAAACTCCTCATGAGCAGGAGATTAGCAAAAACTAATGTAGAGAGGACGCAGGATACTGGCCACTGACGAAGCATGGTGATACATCGAATTTCATTAAAATGAGACACTCTGTTTACAGATGTGAATCCATAAGGAGGAAAAAGCACGATAGGGTTGTGGGGGAGGGTCCTGAATACATACATCTGGCCAAGGTCCAGGAGCCAGAATGTCTACAAACATGGGAAACCCTTAGGACAAGACATCTAGCCCTTCAGTGTCTAATAGGCAAAAATTTTGACAGGCGTCACACTTCAGAAAAGAAAGTGTGGCATGTTGCTCCATGGTGGAACCTTTGTCTGGCATGTGCAAAGCCCTGAGTTTGATTCCCAGCACTGGAGAGGAGAAAAAACTATCTAAAAGGTGATAATCAACATTATTAGTTTGGTTTTAACATTTAGGAAAATACTCATTAAAACCACTACAGGACCCCAGAATGACTGAATTTTTAAACACAGGGAACTATGATTCCAAGGACTGGTGACAGTGTGAGGAAGCCAGCCTTAGGGCTGACCAAGAGGCTGTATGTGGCTCTAATGGAGCTAACGTGGTGTGTACATTTGCAAAACTTAACTCCAATATCTCCTTACCATTCTTGGGCTTCATTGTAGCCATGTTATCCTTTATCTAAAGGGAGGGTTTATGGTGTTACAAGAGACTGAGTGAGCTGACATTGCTGTCATCATTGACACTAATCAATCTTAATAGCAAAACAAGGGACAAGCAGATATGACTTATGCTTGCTTATTAGGGAAAACATATTTTTATGAATGGAAACATCGAATCGACTGTTCCTCCATCCAAGGTCCTTTACAAGCACTACTTCCAGCCACAATTTACAGGATACAAGCGTCAAAGACAATATATTAAATCATATTGGAGGGGTGAAACAAATGACAAAGTCTAGAACATGGGATTCTATAAGACAAGCAGCCCTTTCCTTCCACAAACTCTTGGGGACAAAAAGGACACCTGCTGAGTACTGTAAATTTCTAAAACACCAACCAAAGGCAATATGTGCACACAGCTTAGATATAGGTTTTTTTTAAGTCAGAAGAAGAAAAAATCTAGGAAATTGAAGCACCGCTTAGATACTCGTTATTAAACCAGTGATGTTAGGTCACTGTGATGTTTCACTGGATCAAGGGGCTTGCTGTGCAAGCCTTCCAAACTGAACTCAACCCCAGAACTCACATAAAGATGGAAGGAGCGGATCCACTCCACAGAGCTGCCCTCTGACCACCACATACATGCCATGCCATGCCACTCCTTCAAAAAAAAGTTGTTTATTTCAGTGTGATAGCAGTATCGTGTTTAAGAGTAAAAGTTGTTTACCTCCTTATAAAAGAAGCTAATGCAAGGGAAGTACAAGAAGAACATTCTAGAAAATACAGATATGCTCCAAAAAGGGCAAGAGTATGCCATCGGAACATGGGACCAACCTGATGGGACGCTTCATGGCTAGAGCTGGAATAATTTAAGGCAAAGATAACTACTGATAGATTTTAAGCACATTCAATGAAATGTTCAGTGTCTGCCTAGGTTGATATGGATAATTAAAAACAAATGCATTTTCAAATGGTGGGAGAGGTAGCGATTTCTTATGGCAGAATGTTGATCAAGGGATGAAATTATAAGGTCAACACTGAATAAATAAGACGGTCACAATAAATTGCTGAAAACGAGATCCACCATCATGTATGGAAGTCGGTGGTGGCTAAGGAGAGTCGGGATATTTGCAGAGTCCCAAAGTATCTCACCCCAGGGTACTATGTCTTAACTACAAAGAGAAAAATAGTAATAACTTGACAATGGAAGTGCTCACCAGCTCCCTCCTGTGGACAAGAGGAATATCCCTGGGCCTAAGACATGAAGACATGAGTCCTATAGAGGAGTTACAGCTTCCTCTTGGTTTCTTCCTCAAGGCCAATCCCTCATCTCCAGTGACAAAGAAACACTAAAGGAACCCATGTGAAAGGCCGTTCCACTGTGGGACACATGCCCAGGGACATGACATGGGTCTTTTCTGAGCCGCCTCTTCCACATTCTCAAAGCAGCCACCTCGGGGTCGTTGGAAGTAGCCATAGACAAACTGATAAAAGCTGAAAAACAGGCAAACCGTCCCACACTGGAGAAGGTTAAAGAGAGATGAGCTGGTGACTAAGTGCAAGAGTAGATCCTGGACCACAAAAGGGACCTTAACAGAGAGACTGACTGAGCGCTCCAGTTGAGCCGTGGTGCAGTAGAGCCACTCCCTGATTTTGATCATGTGTGGTGGTTATGTAAAATGTACTTCAGGTTGGGCGAGGGAAGTCTCTGTGCTGTGTCTGCAATGCTCCCATATATTTAAACTTACTTTAAAGATTCTTAAAGACACTTCGTGTTTGGGAAATAGAGAAATTCCAGTCCCTTTTTCAAAAGCCGGGTATGTACTTGTACATAACCCCACTTATCCTTAGTTTTCCTGGCATATTTCAGATGAGATGTGTCTATTCATTGAAATTTTTCCACACTGGGCCCTTTGTATAAAAATCAGTAAGGCAGCAGGGCAGTGACGGCACACACCTTTAATCCCAGCATTCTGGAGGCAGAGGCAGGAGGATCTCTGTGAGTCTGAGGCCAGCCTGGTCTACAGAGTGAGTGCCAGAACAGCCAGGACTACACACAGAAACCCTGTCTCAGAAAAAAAAAATCAATAAGGTACCATAACAGAAATCATTGTCCAGCAGGGATAAAGCTAGAACTGAACTGTGGGCCACATGCTAAGCCAATCTGTTCCCATTGCACCTTCATTTGACCTTTCTCCCAGATTTAGACCATTGTCTCCAAAGGTTGTGTATGAGAAGTGCTGTAATAGCCAACACTGCCCAACCATCTCATCTCTTCTCCAACAGGAATGGAGGGGGCCGTAGCGGCGCGTTCTGTGCCATCAGCATTGTCTGTGAGATGCTCCGACACCAGAGAACTGTGGATGTCTTTCATGCTGTCAAGACACTGAGGAACAACAAGCCCAACATGGTGGACCTCCTGGTAGGATTCTGTCCTGCCCCCTAGGGTGTCTGGACTTCTCACCAGCCCCCACATGGCCATGCTCCATCAGACAGGACACTCTTTTCCTAACATGGTTTACCAGGGGAGTTTCCTCCCTTTGTGTTTTGTAGAGTAGACTTCCTCGGCTTGGTTGAAATGTAGAAAGAGTTGAGACTTACAAGTGAGCATTCTTATTAATTTCCCTTCCTGGCAGTGCCTTCTACGTGGCTAAATAATCATAGTACAAGAAATGGCAGATTTTCAAATTATAGATTTTATAAATAGCTTAATCGCTTAATATTTATCAAAGCTGCGAATTGTTTGACATACAGAATATTGCATTTAATTATGGTGGCCATATCTGAGAAGAGGATCAAAGGGAGCTGAGAAACAAAGGACTAGGTGCAGCTATTTTCTTAGAGGACTTCACAAAAATCCCTTCATTTTTTTTTTAATGTGGAGCTGTTAAAATGCCAGCATGGTGAGTCAAGACTAGCAGTAAAGCTTCACAGAAGCAGCGTCTTTCTCTTGGGTTCTGTACATCTCTGTGAGTGATCTAAAGGGAACCAGTGGGCCCATGCAGGGCCTGGAGAGTGACTCTGGCCAAAGAAGAGGGAGGAAAAGTTGAGATACACCATGTTCTGAGGCCTACAGTTCTGCAGGAGTGCCGTTAAAGTCCAGAATGCAAAAAGGGGGCCAAGAATTGAACTCAACTTGAGATAGTAGCCACCTCATGAGCTACGTGAGGTATTACTGCAACAGTACCCAGGGTGAGGGAATAATAGCACAACCTCTGACAGCCAGCTCCCGAGGCATAGCTAAGTCCTTCTCAGTACAGGCCACTCTCCAGTGACATCTGCTGCCCCTAGACACTGGCTTGTGCTTATATTCCACACCTAGGAAGCATGGCATTATCCAGGAACTCTAAGGGAAGGGCTCCTTGGCTGAGTGCCTCCCCTCAAGCCTGAGGGCCATTACATCAACTCTGCCAAGCAGAATCCTGTTTCCCCAAACATTTGCCTCTTCTTTCCTCCCCTATAGGAAAACCAAAGAATGCAAATAGAGTCTCAACTGTGCTGTTAACTCAAACTAGATGACCTCAAACACCCAGGTTTTGCAGTGCTAGTATCATTGAGTTTTATCTTTAGCAATCAGGGGTAGTGCTAGCTTTTAGGGGGCAGGGGTGCCCCAACATGAAAATACCTGTGAATGTGTTTGGGGCGTTGCAAATTAGAGAGGCAATTGAGCTTGTAGCTGTGTACTGGGCATGATGAAGCCTTTGTGGCCCCTGGGACACGGTCACATCCACGTGTTAGTGAGACTAGCAGTCCTATTACCGTGACATTTAGCATGTGCCAGACATGGCTCCTGTTGTCATTCAAATGCTAATAGACTCCATGCACATGGGCTATAAGGCATGCTTGTGTGCACAATTCCCTAGAGCCAGCTAAGGATTGTCACATGAGTGGTAGGTCTTCACCCTTCTGGACTGAGAGGAGAGCAGCCCCTAGTCACCGTTACCCTAAGTTGGGGACAGGGAAGGAAAGTACAGATTCAGACTTAACCTCAGGGATAGATGAAGCTCCCAGGCTTCAGTTAGCACTTGGGCAGAGGCATCAAGGATTTAAAAAAAAAAAATGCCAGTTCCCTCACTGAGCCTGAATTAAACAGAGAGTTTGAAGTATCCTGTCCAGGCCCTCCCTGTAATGGCTCCACCGAGACCGTCATCGCTCTGGAGCTTTTATGGTCAGACGCAACCAGGCTTTTTTTCAAGTCAGTGGTTCAGATTACAGACCAGGGTGATTCTTCATGAAATGAATGGAGGCTCAGGTGGCTGGCCAGAGGAAGCCTGCACTGCAGACAGTAATCTCTATTCCTATTCTATAATGACATTGGAGTTTGGGTTATTATAAAGGAATGTCTTCTTAAAAAATTAATTTCATTGGCTTACAGTAACTCAGCATGTTTATGGGGTGCAGTGTGACATTTCAATACAGGTGTGAAATGTATAATGATCAGGGCACAGTAACTAGTGTATCTGTTGCTTCGGGCATTTTTTTTTTCATTCTTTGTGTTGGGAACCTTCCAAATCCTCTCTGCCAGCTGTTTGGAAACATTTAACTCATTGTTGTCAACCACGGTTCCCCACTGTGCAGTACAGCTTTGGGAGTGGTTCCTTCCAGACTGTGTCCTGTACAGTTGTGGAAGATTCTATGGCAAATACAGGGTCCCTGGAAGCCCATCATGCTGAAGGTCAGCCCCATCTTCTGAGAAGGTCAGTGACAAAGAAATGAAGGGAAGTTTCGAGATTTCCAAAGAAAGCCATCTGCCAATCTGTCACAGTGACTGTTAGCAAGATAATAGCTGGTGACCAGAGGAAAAAAAAATGTCACAATGATCTTTTTTGTCTGGTTTTGAAGCTTCTGGGCCTGAGTAAGAGGCTCTTGTATTCGGGTTTTTGTTTTGGTTTTTTTTTTCCCCTCCATGAAGCACCATATCTTTCTATTTTAAAATTCAGAAATGTTGGCTGAAGGAATTAATTAGCTCTGGTCAGCATGATAAAGTCTGGTATGGCTGTTCCATGTGTAGCAGGCTATCTGAGAGAAAACAATTGAGGCCAGTCATTGAGACGGATACTGAATGTGTGAGCTGCATCTCTGAAGAATGAGTATGTCCCAGAAGGCTCGGGGCATGTTTCTGAGCTAATCAGCCTGGCACTCTCCGGGATAGCTAGAGTATCCTAGACATCTCTTTCCTCACATTCTCAGTTTGGGGGTTTAGGAGAAAGAATGATTTCTAGGAATAAAATTAGAATACAAAGGCTACAGAGATGGTTCAGTGACTGAGAGCACTCGTGGCACAAGCGTGAAGCTTGAGTTAGGTCCCAGCGTCTATAACACACGCAGGGTCTCAGAAGTGCCTGTAACCCCTGCACTGTATGAGACAGAGACAGGAGAATCTCTGCGGCTTGCTAGCTTCCAGCCTAGCCAAAAGAGCACACATTCAGGGAGAGACAGGCACTGTGTTCAAGGAATAAGGGAGAGAAAGAAAGAGGAGATCTGACATGCTGGCCTCTGTGTGCACATGCATGTGGGCACACACAATAAAAATAGTAATTTAGAATATAAGGTTAGAACATTTTTCTATTCTGACCCCATTCAGCCTGGCTTCTAAGTTAACCATCTGCTTAAGTTGCCCTGTCACCATCCCTAGGTTCTGGGTCCCCAGAACGAACCAAGGACAACTCTGCCTGTCTGGAATTGGAGACAGTGGCCTTGAAGCTGCCGGAGCTGCAGGAAAACAGTGGCTTCCCTCAGCATTGCCCTCCTTGCTGGGCTCTGCCTCAACCAGCAGCCTCTGGGAATAGTACTGTCTGCCCGCCCAGAGCCTTAACCAGAAGTCAGTGGCTGGGCCTCTGACTCCCTAAGTGTCCTGTCTGTGGCAAAGCTGCCCTTTCAGGAAAATACACACTCTGCTCGTGAGCTGTATGTCCCCTGGAGCTTTATACCTCTTGAAATCCGGGTGAGATTGGTCAGATCCCTATACAAAATGGAAGTACGGCTGAGGGGATAATTTCTATTGTTGATATCAGGCAGAGAACAGCCAGAGGCATCTGGAAGAGTCCAGAGCAGAGAGAGCAAGTAGTAGACTGAACATGGCCAGCAGACTGAACAGGGCCATGGTGGGGAGCAGGAGGGGGAGGGCCATGACAGAGAGACAAGAAGGCAAAGAATCTAGAAGGCACATGGCTGAAACGGCGGGGTTATACAGGAATGAGAGGCCGTGGGAAGGGAGGGCCATGAGCTAGAGTTTAGGGTAGGAGGGGTAAAAACAGCTGACAGCAGAGCCTGCCAGCATGGGACTCTGTGACAGGTACTTGCTGAGAAAGCCTAGATGCCAGCATGTGCTTTGCTCTGCTAATAGGCTCCACAGTTAGCCATCTGTGTGTGGGGGCCGGGGGGGGGGGGGTTGTTCTTTTGGACCTGACAATCCCCACCCAAATAGAGGCCCCTGGGCCTTCTCACGGTTTCCACAAGGGGCCAGGCTTGGTCGTCATCGACACCTGCAACTGCACCGTGAAAGCCCACCTCCAAAAGCCATGCCTTGCTCTGCAACCACTTGTGAGTTTTGGGCACCAGCCACATGCTAGGGACAGTTCAGTGAGCATCGGTGCCCTTCATCTTTAACATGGGGCAGAGGAGCAAGCCTGTTGGGGTAGGCAAATGGGTACAAAATGTCCTCAATAGGTAACATTATAAAGGCCAAAAGGAAAGTCGTGCTTGTTGAGGGCTAGAAAGGGGAAGGAAAGGTTGCCGCCTGGCACAGGGTTGGAGATACGCTGGAATTTACCTTGTGCTCCACTCTGTAAATATTGAAACCCATTGAACCGTGTCAAAATGACAGCTAAATTTAATCTAGGAGTATAGCTAGGCAATGCCCATCCTGTAAAACAGAGTTAGCAGGCAGGAAAGTAGAGCCCACGGGGCAGCTTAGGGTGGGTACCAGACTCGCCCTTCAAGTTAGCTCCAGAAAACTGAGCCCTGACTCGGTGTGGCCATTTCCAAGTTCAGTGTGATGGGTAGTCAGATGGTTTCCAAAGCTGGACGACAAGGTCTCAGTCCCTGTCTATTGAGTAGCTGTGAGGATTGACAGTCTCCCTAGTACAGAGAGGATGGTCACCAATGTGACCTGCCGTGAACCAGCCATCTCCAGCTTCCTAGCAGGAAGATTTTTCCAGCAGGAAGATTTTTCCAACTATAAGTGTCCCATAGCCATTATGAAATGTGTCTGAATTTCAGACACGTTACCTCAGGGAGGGAGGTTTGCTTCAGGTAAGCTGAACAGACTATTCTCTTTTGAGTCTTGAGCACTTGACATGCGATGTTTGATGTGCCACCCAGACTGACTGTGCGCCACCCCCCCACCCCACCCCACTCCCCACAGCTCCTCCAGCACAGGCAATGTGTGCTGACAAAGGCACAGTGCCAGCCTTCACGGGATGCCTCAGAACTGCCCTCAGGAGCGCTGAGCTTGTGACTCCCGTGCTCAGCCAGCCACCTGCTAGGACTTTTAAAGAATGACCTCAGCTTTGGGTTCCATTTTAGAAGTCACTTCTCTCTCTTCACAGGGGCCACAGCCAGTCAGAATAAGAGTCTTGAGAGGAATAGCAAATGGCTGTGGTGGGGATGGGACCCTGCTGAACCTCTGCTGAAGACTAAGCACTGCATACCTGAGCCAGCAGCTGTGGTCTGAGTTGGGAAAACTCAGGACCAAGGCATGCATACACACACACACACACACACACTTTCTCAGAAGCATTGGGATAGCTCATGTGGCTTAATTATACCATTCAGAAGCAGGGGAGCTGTGGGAGGAAGCTGCAGAGGACAGGGCTGTACCTGGTGATCAAGTGTAATCAGTTTCCAATGTAGGAAGATTTGAGGCATTTTCCCAGGTGCGTGGAGGAGGGGACATGGCAATTTGTGGCCTTTCTTTGCCTTCCCCTTGTTTTTATGACTCAGAAACCGGTCATCACAGAATCTATGGGGATTGGCAGCTTTCTCAGGATGGATGAGATGGGAGAAGGGAAACTCATTTTAAAAATTATAGTCATGCCTGAGACAGGGCAGCTCTGGGGACCACTGGGCCACAGCACCTTAGCATAGAAACCTAAAATCCCTCAGGAGTCCCCACACCTTTTGTTGTGACCTGAGGCCAGCAGCCAAGAGTCCCTACTAACCGTGTTTGAATATATAAAGGGACCGTTTGCGTAGTCACTGAAACTAATTGCACAGTTAGATCTGAAAAGAATCATTTTTTATGCAATGAGGGATTACATTTCCATAAGAAAAAAAAATCACCAGGATTCACAGAAACTGGAGAGATGATTGGAGCACTTGGTGGCCAATTTGTCAGCATGGCAGTCCGACAAAACGGCCTCTTAGAATTCTGAAATTCAAATTGCTCCTTTTAAACATTCTGGAAATAAAATCATCCAGTGCTAAAATAATCAATCATAGACTAGGAACCAGAAATAGGACTTTGTGGAGGGTGACAGCGTTTCCAGTTCAAGGGTCTAAAAAAGCAAAGGCAAAGAGAAGCACAGGTCGTTGGAGAGACTTCTGGTCCCCCCACATCCCATGCCCTGCCGTCAGTTCTGTGGGTGAGCACTGCAGAGGGCCACACAGGCTCCATCACTGCCCCTCCAATCATGTGGACTGGCACCTCCCACGTTGGAGGACCAGAGCTTGAGGCCTCTTGCACCACCAGGGCTGCCAATGCCAGAAGCAGTTGCTGGTGTCGGTTCACTACGGTGCCAGAGGAAATGCTCACCACACCCGTCGGAGCTCCTGTTCTTACAGCAGTAGCTTCACCTAGAGCGCCCCATACCCACTGCTGTCTACAGCACACCTACTTACACTACTAAAGTATCTCTATTCCACGTGGCCACAAGAGTCAGTAGGTGTCTCTGACTCTGCCATGGTCTGTACTAGGCCAAAGAGGGCATCCGGCCCAGCCAAAGATGCTCTATAGAAGCTTTCTGCACTGTGGTGTCCATGCAGAGATAAGGCCAGCATTGCAGCATAATTGCCAGGCTAATGAGTTGGCCCAACAGGTAAAGGCACTTGCTGTCAAGGCTGTCGACCTGAGTTCCGTCCCAGAACCCACATGGTGGAAGGAGAAAGCTGACTTCCTCCATGCGTTTTCCTTCACCCATCTGCCATACCACACCTCTACATCCTGTAAGAGCAAAACTTAAAAATAATCCATTCCTGTACTTCAAAGAGAAGAACTTCTGACCAAGAATCCTGTGCCTGGCAAGGCTACCATTCATAAATAGCAATAAAATGCTTCAAAGAAAAATCAGCCGGACGTTGGTGGCGCATGCCTTTAATCTCAGCACTCGGGAGGCAGAGGCAGGCAGATCTCTGTGAGTTTGAGACCAGCCTGATCTCCAGAGCAAGTGCCAGGACAGCCTCCAAAGCCACAGAGAAACCCTGTCTCGAAAAAAGAAACAAAAAGAAAAATCAGACTTGGAGGTCCATGATCACTGTTCCTGGCCTTACAAAAGATGCTTAGTGGAGCTCAACATCCAGATGCGAAAGAAAAATAACTACCATCATCAAAGTGGTGAATCCCAACAGGAGAACAGGTCTACAGAAGAGAAATGTAAAGGAATCAGGTATTATCTGTACAATGTATATCAAATCACAAAGGTGAACATGAGAGGCGGGTATGGTGGCACAGGCCTGTGTCCCCAACTCTCGGAGAGGCAAAAGGATTGCAAGTTCAAGATGAGGTACACACCATGTTCCAGGCCAACAAGGATAAGAAGCAAGAAAAAGACATAGACTCTTTAAAGCACATAGAAGAAAATCATCCAGATGGTATGAGTACGTCCTTACTGATCAACTATAACCATGAATACAGACGGACGTGTTCCCTAATTAAAAGATACAGATAGAGTAAATGGGGTTATTTTTAGGTTATCCAATAGTACCATCTCATCAGTAAATAGACACACCACCTGAAAGTTAAAAGATGGAAAAATAAAATTCTAAGTTTTAATAAGAGAGCAGCAGTTAGCTAAATTATACATGGGGGAAAGTCTAGCTAGGTTACACATGGGGGAAAGACTTTAAAGACAATTGTACTGAAGAGCTGACAGTTCCTTATAGGGTGTGATTGTGACTCTATACGCACCCAATTTTATTTTTTTAAACCCACTAAAACTGTTCAAGAAGTGACATGTGCTTCCCAGAGGATATAAGACATTCCCATGTGTCTCTTAATCTCCTTTAGCCTTTACCTAGAATGTCTGTTTTAATCCCATTTTAAATGGTCATATATTTTAATCATCTAAAGTGGAGCAACTGAGAGTCAAAGAGGTTGCTGGTAATATCAATGGCAGAAATAAAAAATATACAGACAAAACCAAGAATTTGAGTCCCCTCCCCTAGCTCTGTAGATCCTGCCTCTCCTCGGGTCCCTGTGTTATAGATGTAACTTAAGCAAGGGAAGATGGCAGAGGTCCCTCATGGCAAAGAGGGCACTGTGGAGCCACTCAAAATCCTGACAGCAGAAGTGTGTGACAGAGGCTGTTACGTTTTAGTGGATCAGAAAGCCCAGACCAAGATATGGAGTGGGTGGTGATAACACCTCCCCGAAGGACCTGTTGCCAGTGAGTACATCCTCCATCTAGACCCCGCCTCCCAGTGTCCAAAACCTTCCAAAGCAGTGCTACCAACTGAGACCAAGAATTCACAACATGGGCCTGTGAAGGAAAATTCAGATTTGAACCATAATGTGTCACTGTTCCCAAGATCTGTCCTCGTCTCCATCGAACCCACAGCCCATGTTGGGAAACCATTCTTTCTTATATACTAACACTGGGTTACCTGTCTCGGCCTTCCCCCATATCACAAACTTCTCCAAAGTCAGGGGCCACAGTAAAGTGTATGATACCTAAGAAGACCTTAATCAATTCTCATGACATTTAAGAAATCCTGCTGACTACAAGTTCAAGGAAAAGCAAGGCCAGAGGACAAGCCTGTTGGGGACAAACCATGCAGACACTTCTTCCAAGCTTCCTGGTCTCTCCATCCACTATTGATCTTCCTGTACAAGACTCAGATTGTTGTCAATACCTGTGTAAAGCATATAGGGACAGCATACCTTCATCTCTTGTTATCCATAAGGTCTAAGTTCCAGGACTCCTTGCAGACTTTGCAGTCTCTCATATAAAATGTCATAGAGTTTGCATATACCCAACTCATCCTCCATGTACTTTAAATCACCTCTAGATGACTTATTATAAGAGACTAGAAATGTCATGCTTATGGTTAATGCACTCTGTTGTTTGGGGGAATAGTGAAACCCTTACTTGTTCAGTACAGATGTGATTCTTTTTCTGATATTGAATTGCATGCAGAACCCAAGCATCTTGGGACTTTCCAGAGTGCTAATGCACACAGATACTGGAGTCCTGTCCAGGAGGCTTTGTAGGGATGCATCAAAACTGCTACTTTCTGATCCACTTCTAGTTCAAAGCTCTATCAGTTTTATGTCTTGCAATTAAGAGCCCTCATCTGCTGTAATTGCTCTAACAGAAGCAAAGTTTAGATGTACGCTGACTCTCTCACTTTCTCTTCTAGGATCAGTACAAGTTCTGCTATGAGGTGGCCCTGGAGTACTTGAACTCTGGCTGACTGCATCCACAGCTCTGCGGGGGAATGCCTTCCTACCACAAAGTCAAGACGTCCTCTGGCGTCTGTGATGATGAGATGAAGAATTGTCAGTATGCTTATTTTGCTTTGCATAATTGGCTCTTTTTAAGAGCCCAAGAAAGTGTTTCTAAAACTGCTTGCACTGCCCAGTTCCCTGTAATGCTGCTGCGTGACCAAAACACAGCAGACAGTCACCAGAGACTGTCCTCCTCGCCACCGGCCATGTTAGAGCAGCGCAGATATCTGGTCAACCGAAGAGCACAATTATATTCTTATGAAGGAATTTGTACTTTTGGGGTTATTTTTTTTGTGGCTGTGACCCTTTGTCATTGTTACAACTGAGTGTATGTTTTGTTCTGTGGAGAATGCTACCTGGCATTATGATAATATATTCTTTTAGTTAATATTTGTATTTTAACATGTTGCATAATATAAGATTATATAGCTTTCAAGGACTAACAGATAAAGATGTAATGAACAAAGACGCAGTGTGTGAGTTCTTTCTAGCAGATTTGTATGGTTCAAAGAGGAAAGCTGGGGAGGCCTCCGCTCAGAAATGTAACGTGGTTGGAGTCACAGATCCAAAGCTTTTCCATTTGTTTATATTGTAAATATTTTTTGATTTCATCAAATTATTTATTCATTAAAAGAAATTTTGTGATGCACAGTGAGTGACACTCATTTTTACTGAGCCCAAGAAGTGACTGACCTGATGCTGCCTTTTGTGAATTCTCAGCTCAGTGATTTCTGACTCTTGACTAGTCTTGCTGTGTTGCTGGAAGCCACGCCCCTCTGACTAGTCCAGTCAGGGAGCACTTGCACCTGGAACCTTGCCTTGGTCTATGACTTCTGATAGGCTGGTTAATTCATAAAGAAAAGTGAATGGATGAAAGGAGCAAGCGTGTGCAGGAGAGACACAACAGGAGTGAGCGAACGCACTTGTAACAAAGCCAGTCCCACAATAACAGCAGTCACAATCCATTAAGAGCCACCTGCTAAAGCTCCTGCCTCCCAACGTGTCTGACAATTCCTTTCCACGTGAGTTTTAGAAGGGGTAGCCACATAAGAGCAGCCTGTTTGCCTGGTTCAGGTAGAATTGGGACAAAATCCCCTGCATCCTATATGCATCCTAGGAGACTACAGTGCAGGAAAATTATAAATCAGCAGCAAAACAAACTCAGACCAAACACAAGGACTTGGAGACTGCACAACACACTTCTGAATGAACAGTGCCCCATTGAAGAAATCAGAGAGGAAATTTTAAAAACTTCTAGAATCAAGTAAAAATGAGAACACAGCCTACCAGAACTTCTGGATTTAGCCAAGGCAGTTCTAAGAGCAAACTTTATAGATGTAACTGTTCATACTTTAAAAAAACAGAGAGATCTAAAATAACCATGCACCTTAAAGCTCTAAAAAGGCAAGAAGAAGCCAAACCCAAAATGCAGCAGATGGCAAAATAATGGGAGAAATTAATGAAAAGGGATTCTAAAGACAAAAAAGACAAAAAGGGTTGGTTCTGTGAAAAATTTTTCAAGATTTATCAAGCCCTAGCCAAGATAGCCAAAAGAGCAAGAAGATACAAATAAAACTGGAGGTGCAAAAGAAGATTTACAAAAGACTCCAACAAAATTCAGATCCTCTGAGGATACTTTGAAAACGTACCCGAGGGCGTGGTCAGGGTGATGCGGGGAAAGAGTGAGGGACACTTACTTAGGTGGCGGCTTTGCTTTTGGTGTCATCTCCAGCTTGCTGCACTGCTGCCCGCCGGCTAGCTAGGTCGCCCTGTAAGTAAGGCTTTTCCCTATTAAATTCCCTTGTATTTTTACCTGGCTCCGTATTGGTAATTTCCTACATTTCCCCCTACAGATCACAAGCAAGTAGGTTTCATACCAGGAATGCAAGGTTGGTTAAACATATACCAATAAACAAATGCAACATCATATTAATAGGCTTAAAGACAAAAATCACATGAGCATATCAATAAATGCTTAAAGGCATTTGATAGAGTTCAACATAGCCTCATGATAAAAGTCTTGAAGGAAAGCCAGGCATTGGTGGCGCACACCTTTAATCCCAGCACTCAGGAGATAGAGGCAGGTGGATCTCTGAGTTCGAGGCCAGCCAGGTCTCCAGAGTAAGTGCCAGGACAGCCTCCAAAGCTACAGAGAAATCCTGTCTCAAAAAACAAAACAAAAAAAATTTCGAAGGAAGTATGAATAGACAACTTATACCTCAATATAATAAAGGCTACAGACAGCATAGCTGTAGCCAATGTTACACCAACTGCAGGGAAACTAAGACCATTTTCTCTAAAATACGGAATGAGATGAGAGCATCCACTCTTACTAAATATATCGTGTGAGGTCTTAGGTAGAGCAATAAAACAAAGGAAAGATATAAAATGTATAAAATTTTAAAAAGAAAAATAATCTCAGCACTTGGGAGGCAGAGGCAGGCAGATCTGTGTGAGTTCAAGACCAGCCTGGTCTGCAAGAGACAGTTCTAAGACAGCCTCCAAAGCCACAGAGAAACCCTGTCTCGAAAAACAAAACAAAAAACAAATTAAACTCTTCCTATTTTCAAATGTCATAATTCTATACTGAAAAGTCACATGAGCTCAACAAAAAAAAAATGAATCTGATAAACACACTCTTAGTAAAGCTGCTTGGAACAAAATCAATATATATAAAAGTCAGTAGCCTTTATATATACCAACAATGAACTTACTGACAAAGAATTGAGGAAAAATATTCCAGTCACAATAGCCTCAAAAGATATGAAAATAAACCTAACCAAGAAGGTAAAAGACTTCTGATGAAAAAACTTAAGTGCTGACAGTAGAAATGGGAGAGTACCTTACAGAACGCAATGGCATCCCATGCTCCTGGGTTAACACTGGGAAAATAGCCAAACACTTGCAAAAGCAAGCTACAGATCTAGGGGATCCCCATCAAAATTCCAGTGGTCACAGGTAGAGAAAAAGTCCCGAAATTCATATGGGAACACAAAGGACCACAGATGCCCAAAATGACTCTAAACAGGAAGAACACAGCTAGAGGCCTCATAGTACCTGACTTCAAACCATACTACAGAGCCATAGTGACAAGGGCACTATGCTGCCAGCACAAAGACAGACATGTATTCCAAGACCACTGGAAAACCCAAGGATAAACCCATAGAACACCTTGTTTATGACAAAGATATTAAAAACCACACACTGGGAAAAAGACATCCTTTTCCACAAACGGTGACAGCAAAACTAGACACACACCTGCAGAAGAATGAAATTAGAAACTTCTCTGTCTCACCATGAGCAAAAATAAGTTTAATTTAGACAAGAGACCTTAATTCAAAATTGGAAACATTGGGAAAACACTGCATGGTTATAGTTATAGATAAAACTCCAGTAGTACAAGACATAGTACTGTAAGTTATAGCCCCAAAAACTGACAAATGGGATTACATGAAATTAAAAGGGTCTGCATATCCAAAGTAACTATTGGCAGAATAAACAGCTAACCAACAAAACAGGAAAAATATATTTCCTAGCTATACTTCAGATGGGTTAATATCCAGAATATATGAAGAACTCAATTTTTTTAAACACAAAACCATCACTGATCAGTTAATGGATCGATGAACTAAACAGACAGTTCATCGAAGAATACAAGATCATATCAGAGAAATCATCCACCATGATCAAGTAGGCTTCATCCCAGGGATGCAAGGATGGTTCAACATACAAAAATCCATCAATGTAATCTACCATATGAACAGACTGAGGAAAAAAGACCACAAGATGCCAAAAACCCTTTGACAAAATCCAACACCCTTCATGATAAAGGTCTTGGATAGATCAGGGATAACAGGAACATACCTCAACATAATAAAAGCAATATACGGCAAGCCAACAGTCAACATCAAATTAAATGGAGAGAAACTCGATGCAATTCCTCTAAAATCAGGGACAAAACAAGGCTGTCCACTCTCTCCATATCTCTTTAATATTGTCCTTGAAGTCCTAGCCAGAGCAATAAGACAACAAAAGGAGATGAAGGGAATACAAATTGGAAAGGAAGAAGTCAAACTCTCACTATTTGCAGACGATATGATAGTCTACATAAGTGACCCAAAAAACTCTACCAGGGAACTCCTACAGCTGATAAACACCTTCAGCAAAGTGGCAGGATCCAAGATTAACGAAAAAAAATCCGTAGCCCTACTATATACCGGTGACACATTGATGGAGAAAGAAATCAGAGAAACATCACCCTTTACAATTGCCACAAACAACATAAAATACCTTGGTAACACTAACCAAAAATGTGAAAGACCTGTACCATAAGAATTTTGAGTCTCTAAAGAAAGAAATTAAAGAAGATACCAGAAAATGGAAAGATCTCCCATGCTCTTGGATAGGTAGGATCAACATAGTAAAAATGGCAATCTTGCCAAAAGCCATCTACAGATTCAACACAATCCCCATCAAAATCCCAACACAATTCTTCACAGACCTTGAAAGAACAATTCTCAACTTTGTATGGAGAAACAAAAGACCCAGGATAGCCAAAACATCCCTATACAATAAAAGATCTTCTGGAGGCATCACCATCCCTGACTTCAAGCTCTATTACAGAGCTATAGTACTGACAACAGCTTGGTATTGGCACAAAAATAGACTGGTAGA